AAAAGTTATAAGTGTTTGAAGTTTCATGTGTCTGCCACATGCTGAATCCATTGAAGTTCATTAAAAAATATATATATCATTATGGAACTGTTATTATTTGGTGGAATTGTTCTTTTTCTTCAAAGATGTTGATCTTGGTTCCACAAAATAATAACAGTTAAACAAAACGAAAATATACAACCTATATCAACATCACAGCAGAATCTGATTTTGCATTTTCTCACATCATGCATTATTTGTAGCATGTGTTTCACATTTCTGTTAGAAATGAGTGTCCAAAATCCAAAAGCTAACAACACTTATGATGAAGGAAAAATACAAACTTGTGTCTGAATTTGAATGTAAGAAAACTTCACAAGCCAAATTTGCAAAAAAAACCTTATATGAACAACTTTGGTGGGAATTCTGAAGAAAAAAGATGAAATTAAAAAACTTTTTATTGGATTTTTGTTGCATATCTCTCAAAATGCCAGAGAAAGTCGTACAAAGATGTCGAAGATGCTCTGCACATTGGCTAAAGCAAATTTGTCTAACCAAATCTTCCTGTTTCGGGACCGATACTGAAACAAAAGGCTATGGAAATTGCTGGGGTACTTGGAGTAGAAATCAACTTTAGTGCCAGTGATGGATGGTCAGAGAAGTACAGTCATTGCACTACTATATTTTCCTAATTGTAGTTTTTATCTCTCATATATTTCTTTATAAGTTCTTTCCAGTAGAAATCGTTCCTTTCTTCTTTATAAACATCGGAGGTTGATTTTGGGCAGAAAACATCATGGAGGTGTTCCTATTCGAATTTTCCTCAACTGGATTTCTGCACTTATTCCATCATGGTTGCCCCTATTTATTCTAATTTGATCATCCAATCATCGAGGACAACTTGGGTCACCTGAGTAGAGAAGCAACAAGGATCTTCCTTGTGGAATTGGTATCAACTTTAACCACTCTCCCCCTAATTGACAGAAATTTCCCTCAAAAACGAAAAAGTCCTGTAGTGACTCAAGACAAAAAATTATCTTTTCTTTAAATTATTAAATGTTATAATAACTTAGATATTTTAAAAACAATTATGGTACCATGGATCTCACAATATTGTATTTCCTGTAATAATTTCCCATGTAAATATTTTTTTTTGTAATAACTGCCCATCTAACATGCATTGTGAGGTAAATTACCTCACAATGCATGGTTGACCTAAATATTGGTATATTAGTAGTGTTTGAAATACTAGGCAAATAATTGACTATCAATATGCAATATTTTGTAAGTTGGAAAAATGAGTACTGGCTAATATCATTATTGACATTTACAAATTTAATTAATGTAATTCAAGTACAAGTATCCCTCACACAACATTTTACAACATGATTTTACTTTAACATGGTTTGGGAATTGAAGACAATGTACAAAATGTCACAATTTTTAAGTGCAAACACCATCATTCAATATCTTTTTATTCATATAAGCATGCATGTTGTCTCATATTAGCCCACAGTTTTTAGAATATTGAAATTTTCAATGTTGTTTTATTCCTTTTACCCAGTTTTCTTTAATGAGAACTGACAGTACAATTTTTCTTCTTTCTTGTCCTAGCTTTCCTATAAACCAGGTGTTGCTACTGTTGGTGAAAGTGCTCCAAATTAACCTGAAAGACTGTCATTGTGTTTTGTTTTTATATATTAAGTGATTACATAAAAATTTTTAAAGATCTCTTAGACAAGCAAGCAGATGATAAATTTTTTTCATAAAAGCAGCTCCATTGTGGTGATGCCAAACCACCATGACGGTTTGAGACCACCACCTTCTGCACTACTGGCCCTTTGATATTTGCAACAGGTGTTTTGCTCACCCATGAATGTTTTAACAAATGCTACGCAGATGAGAGCATGAGCCTTCCCTGCATTGTGGCCACTTCTGAAGTGATAGAGCAACAACAAGCAAATGTGTTCTTTCAAAAGTTTCATATTGTCAGACATTGCTGATGCATCTATTTCCAATGAAATAATAAAATATGTGATGAAACACCCTTTGATTACTCTACTTATATACCCACATCAAATGTTCTAGAACATTTTTTCCAGTTTTTTCTAGAAAAAAATCAGTATGTGTAACTTTTACCTTTACAACCTGATGATAAAGTTAGGAAGACAACTTTATGAGATAAATGAAACAAAATAATCCATCCACATGTCAACTATTTAATAAATACAGTTGAACTTCTCTATCTCAAACGTGTTTATCTCAAAAACCTCTTTATCTTGAAATTTATTTTTTCCCTGCATTTTCAGCCTAAATTCAATATCTTTTCCATGTTTACTTCAAACAATTTTCTCCCAAACCTCTGTATCTCAAATTATGGACTGAAGTGTCAATTACAAATTCAAAGTTTGGCAATTATATTTTGATAGCAGAAATTGCAGTTAAACATTTCTTGCAATACATACATAGTTGCAATTAATACTGCTTTTCTCTGATTGGCTGTGAGTTTGGCTTGTGTTTTATTGATTGAAGTCAGGCATTGGAAACTACTGACAAACTATTTCTGTTAAGGGTATGTCAAAAATGTTTTATTTATACCAAATACAGGTGTATACTGTACTTGTTATTGTATCAGCAAAATATCATACTGCCAATCAAACCTATTAACGTTTTTTGCACTATTTTTCTTTGTGAAAGCAATTTACACTCTGCCTTTCATCCTTTTCCTGAGGATCTCTGTCATTCACACAAAGTCTGCACAATGGTGGAAATGGAATAACAGACAATTTTATAGGAAAATATTTTGTCAAACATAACATTTTATATTAAGTGATATTATATTATACATTAGGTGATCCATAAACATTAGTGGTGTAGTTACAAATTTAACATTAGTTTTAGTCAGAAGAAACTTGGCTGAAAAAAAAATCATCTTTCCAGCCTTATTTAAGTATTAATGCCTGCCAGGATAAAATAAAAAAGATAATGATTTTTTTTTCAAATTTCAAGTAATAAAATATTTTCCTGTAAGGTTACTTATTATTCAATCCCCATTGTTGTAAAAATCTTGTGTAAATAACAATCCATGGGGGAAAGATGAAAAAGCAGAGGTGTTCATTGTTCCCTTAACCAAAAGTTTTTACAGTGGGTGATCAGTTAATGAACAGTTCAGACTACAAACAAATCGGATAATAAACACTTTCGTGAAAGATTTTTATGTTTGAACAACAAACACCTCACAGAACAAACACAAGAAGAAGCAATATAAAATAATGAATACCAATTGGTCTTTCCTTATCTTCAGGCAACAATTCAAAACTTTTCGGAGCACAAGAGATGTCAACATTGACACTCAACCCAGTATATACTGATCAGATAGTATTACTCTGAACTTTGAATCTTTCTCTTGTAATTTCAGCCTTTTATTTTTCTTTTATAGTATTCATGAGACTCTCGGGCAGGCACTCATTAAGTTCTGCATCTGTTTTTATTTTCGAAAGGTGAGAGTATAATAGCAAAGGTAGAAAGTGGGCAGAAGATGTCTGATATTGCTGGGCAGTATGACTTGAACAGGTCTACAGTAGGTCGCAGTTCAATCTTATCTAAGATACAGTATAATCAAGAAGACTCAAGCAGCTAAAGGAGTAACAAAAATCACATCTGAGAAATAAAGAACATTGAAGAGCTCATAATGAAACCTGAAACGAATCTGACGACAGAAGAACTTGAATGAATAACACCAAGAACATTGGTGAGATATGTTTTATTCTGAAAAAAAGGATTAATGCCAATATCTGCTATTAAAGATCTTTTGAAGAAGTGGGAGGATGCCAGAACAACGGTCTTAGAATGGCATCCAAACCAGGTTGAGGTTAATAGGCTTAGGGATCTCTACAATTAAAATGCTATTAATTACTTCTGAAAAATACTGATGAAGAGAGAAAAGCAATCGACGTTAGACAGATTTTTCAACCCCCACAAACAGAAAAATCATGTCTAATAAAAATGCAAGACTGTGTATATATGTATTTTTATTATTACATATAAATAAACGTAGTAAGAAAGTGTATATTTTTTATTTTTTGGGGTCTCCAGGACAAATGAATCAAATTCCCATAAAAATCTACGGTAAATCAATAATCAGTTAATGAACAATTCAGATAGCGAACAAAGTCTTGGAACGGATTATGTTCGTTAACCGATCACCCACTGTATTTGTCTATAGTTATTAAACTGTAACTTTAAAATATACTTTTCTCAAACTTACAAGAAAATATTGTCCATAATACTTGTATTAAACAATGATTTCTTTTTTTCCTATTGATTTTTATCAATCAATAATAAAGAAATACTATGTAACATTTTCTGCCATAGTGAAATATTCTGCATATTACAAGTTTAACAGAAAAAAATTGTAAATATTGATTTGATGTTTTCTATTATATTAGAGAAAAAATAATAATATATAACAACATATTTCAGTAGTTACTTCAAATAAAAGCACTTGAAGTTAAATTAATATTGAATCTAAATGAATGAAAAAATTACCACCATACTTCTTTCTGCACAATCTTTTCTTTTCAATAAATTTTTACTATTTATAAGGATTTCCATAAAACAATATTGCATTTTGATACACATTTTTGAATTAAGAAAAATAAAATATGTAAATACTATAGATATGCATTGTATTAAAAAAAAATTTAATCATGTGAAAATCTTACATAATTTGTATGTAATATTAAAAAAAAATGCCTCTCTTAATTTTTATAAAGTTTCATTTCAATAATAGAATTGTATATAAATAACTGATGAAATTGAAATTATTCTAGTAAGTATGTTTTATTCATAAAATGAAATTTTCATTTATTATGAATGAGGAAATTGCATTTTCAAGATCTAAAAAAATATAAATAATTTTATACTCTAAGATTATATTCTCTTTCTAAATAAAAATAGTAATTAAATTATAATACATTTGATACAACTTTTAAAATTATGAAAATATATTAAAATACTACCATAATTATGATATTCTTTATCATCTTCATTCTTAACTGTTTCCCATAGTTTATGCTCAAATTTTGGTTTAACTATACTGTTATATAGCTTACTTCTTTGTTTTAATTCATACTTTAGTTGTATAGATACATCTATTAAAAAATTAAAAATAATATATTTAATTTATAGTATTTTTTAATATTTAAATTTATATGAACTGCTATAAACATACTCAACATTATAAGTAGCTAATAAGAATATATAAAAACTAATGGATGACTAAGTAGAACATTTATATTGTACAAGATAGATCAATGGAAGTAAACCAAACTTTTGGCATAGGTGATTTTATTACACAACACATAGATGCCTACCAAACCATTTTCAAGAAAAGGTCCTACTGTAGCTATAAATCCAAACAAAAATATCCGAGATGAAAAAATTGCACCAAGTAAAAAATTATAACATTTTAGATGGCAGTTCAATTTTTCTTAGGAGTTTTTCATTGGTAAAGATAAGCTTGGCACTTTAAAAGCAAAATGTATTATAAAAAACAATAATACAAGTAAAAAGCTTGTGGGTACTGCTTTAAAATGCCAAGCTTGGGGGCAGAGAAATCAACCTCCAAAAAATTGGCATTCTGATTCCAGTATATATATATTCAGACAATGATTTTTCACTTGGTGCAGAGTCACTACCACAACTCTCAATGTCTGTCAGTGTCAATATCACTTGTCAAAGCAGTCCTGGAAACCATTTAATTATATCTTTATTGGTTTTCATTGCCGTAGTTTCCATCTCTGTTGGTGATTGAAACCTACAACTCTTCATCTTCTCTTTCATTTTAAAAACAAATAAAAATTGAGTAAAAGGAAGAAAAGAGATTGAGAAAGCATTATCACAAGACATTAAAATGTCAAAAAATGCAAAAATCCTTGTTAGTGGGAACTGATTCTTGTCCCCTGGTTGCCTTACGGGACTTTTTTAAGGTACACTCCTCTTAATGCAAGATTCCCAGTAACATGCATTGGAAATTGGAACCTCAGTGTTCTACTGACCCCAATAATGCAAAGAAAAGAGAATGAAAAGAAAAGAAAGAAAAAAAAAATCACCGAAAAACTTCAGTTCCTTAATCCTTTATAACACCACTTCCACTGTTGAGCCTCTTAACACCTGATTTTCCAGTAAGATCAGACCAAGATTAGACACAAAGGGAACAGGAAAAGAGCTGAATTGTAGGCATATGAAATTGCTCACATACATGCCTAATTCATGTACATTTGTATGTTCATCTTTCCTTCCTCTGTTCACCCTGTAGCCCATTCTCTGGAAACATTTGCCCTTATAACTTTTGAGTGTTTTTAATAATTTAATGTTCCTTGGTTTTTAAATACTTCCCATCATACTTAAAAACTACACTATCATCTGATCAGTGGTATCAGCAGACAAAATTGTTTCTGAATAGAAGGTTGGCATAACATTCAATATTGCTGATATCAGGAATTACTGTATTATGAATTTAATTAATATAATGACAAACTTTAAATTTAAAATTTAGATTACAAATGAAATTCATTAAGTTTGATTCCTGTATTGACAAAGGATTTATAATCTGCATCTTTGGATTTCACCCATTTAATGTTCAGAAATTGAAATTATGCTTTTGATTGGTTGACAATTTTCAACTGTAAACAATTGTGTATTTGAATTTGAAAATACTCCTCAATATTTTAAATTTATTGCTATGGCGGATTAGGAAAGAAAAGTCAATTAACTAACAATGGTTTTAAAAACAGTATAAATATATGCTCTCTGTTTGGTATCTCTACTTTCTAACTATTGTATTTATATACTGTATTGACCTGAATATTCTGCAATGTTTTTCCAAGATTCTATTATGTTATAAGTTTGCACTAAAAATAAAAAGCGAGCCACACTAGACCAGTACTTTTAAAAAGTTGTAGCTGTTGCATTTCATTGAATTCCTTTTGAAATGAAATACTGCATCTGATTTAAAAAAGATTTTTGTCATTCCTACCTAAGATGTTTTCCCACTTAAAAAAAATATTTTTCCAAGTCAATCCCTTCAAAAACGTCTTAACAAAAACTATATACAGTGAGTAAATGATGCATCTCTTGCTTAGCGTATTTTATGCAGTGATGAGTACTGTAGGAAGGAAGCAATTCACTGTTTGTTTGTACAATAGGGCTACAACTACTGTATTTACTGTATATATGGCACTATATTGATTGATTTTCTATTTTTCTCACATGTTAGGAAAAATGGCAGTGAAAGGAACCAAACATGCCAAATGTCAGAGCACAGAACTGTCATTGTCCAATAAATTGAGAATTTTGGAAGAGGCCGACAAAGAGAAATCAAAAAAGGAGATTGAAAAGCAGTATGGAATTCCCCCTTACTATCCTGTCAACATATCTGAAGAGAAGAGATGCAATAGAGTCAGCAGCTGCAGAGGGCTACAAAGTTGAAGGAAGAAAATGTGTGCACAAATCAAAGTTTGAAGATCTTGACCAAGCAGTCTGAGTGGTTTTGCAATGCATGAGGGCATGATGCTGTGGTGCGTGGTGCTATGATAAAATAATAGGCTGAATAAAAAGCTGCAGAGATCGGGGTTGATTTCAAGATGTCCACAGTGGTTCTCTCACTTTCAGAATTAACATGCAATAGTTTCACTAACAATCTGCAGGGAAGAAAATGAAATTGATATGGAGAAAGCAGAAACAAGGCTAGAACATTTCAAATCCATTACCAGAGAATATCTGTCAAGCAATATCTTTAACTGCAAAAAGACAGGACTTTTCTTTAATTGTAAGCCGAACATAACCTTCCATTTCAAAGGAAAAACTTGTCAAAGAGAAAAGAATTTGAAAAAGAGAATGACCATTTTGCTGACTTGCAACACAGACATAAGTGAAGAGTTAATATCCATTGTTATCAGTAAGTATTGTAAAGTACTATATTTAGTTTGTTGCTCTACAACGAATTTTTCTTAAAGAGCCGGGACCTAACAGGTACTTTACGCGGGTTCGCGTTTATTAGTTGCCAGGCCTGGACTTTTAGCGTGCACCGAAATAAATTAAGGACAAAGTTAGTCACAAAAAAAAATCTCAATAATAAATGTTTAATCAAGTCTAACAAATACTATGTACAAGATTTATAAACAAACAACAAATTTATTAAATAAAAAATCAAATCACAATCAACCCGACAAACTTAAGTCTTATTCTAACTTAGAACTATTCCCCTTGGAATTCCGACAAAATCCAATTCTTAACTTAGTTACAAATTCTCTTATAAGTATCAATCCTAACCGTCACCTCAATTAATACTCGGAACCTTTTCTTTACTCAAGACTTTCCTATTTTCAAATCATCAAAATCAAACCTTCAATCTCCTACTAGGATTTCCTATTCGACACCTTGTTCACTGCTACCAGCAGACCAATGCTTTCGGTTCAGGAGCTCACCCTCTGTCTTCACTTGAGCTACTGTACTTATAGTCTGAGGTGACGTCACAGTTCTAATTGAGACACTCCCCTCATTTGCATATCTACACGTAACATTCTTGTTTTCTCTTCGTTATCTGGTAGCTTATTTCTCGACAATACTTTGTTAACCTTTTACAGCATTTCTTTAACAATTATCGGGATGTTTAGTTGAAGGTTACACAAGTTCCTAGAAAGTCTATTGGGGTGTCCCCCCTTCAGTGCGGACTTACAATTCTGCCGCTCGGGCGTGCACGTGCGTGCGAGTGCTAGCTATGGCGCTGTCGTTTCGTCGTCGGTGAGTTGGTTAATCTTTTATCTTCTCGTTTTGAACGTTAGGGTGGTGGGTGAGGAAACTTCGTCCTAACTAAACATAAGCCCCAAACAAAAATATAATAAAAGCAAACTAAAAGTAAAAAAAAATAACGCTCGGACTTGGTTCCTTACACCATGATAAACCACACTGTTTGAAGCAAGTTTCACACCTCTCTTGCAAGTACACATAGTAAAAACACTTGGATGACTGCTGTGATCTTTCATGAGTGTGGTTGCTGTGCTTAGAGAGAAAAATGTGTTGACTGAAGCAAAAGATGTTGCTGGTTTTTGATCAGGGGCGGACTGACCATGTGGAAGATGTGGAAAATTCCACATGGGCTGTATACAATTTGGGCCGTTTTTTTCTAAATATGTACATAATGTACCGTTTGGTTAAGTTTAATTTTAAAAAATTCATATATTTTTTTTGTTAAGTAAGGTGTATAATATAGTTATATGTGTAGGCCTGTATCATTTTACCCGGCCCTATCCATATCCGAAGTTAAATTAGTTCGGCCGATCTGAGTCAAATACTACATTATCCCAAACAGAAAGCATCCTATGAGAAAAATAATCAAAACTACCTTCTAAACAGAGAAAATTGGTCATTTGTTTACATTGCTAGAAACTATTCACCACTCCTATGAATCTTAATGCTAAACTATAGAAATGTGAGTTATTAGTTTTGTACCTAGCCACCAAAGTGATGATTGTAATCATAACAAATTTAATGGCCACTTATATTATTTCCTTTATTTTAGGTAAGTAAAAAATGTTATTCAATAATAATTTCTCTATATTCCAAACAATTTAATTAAAAATAATATATTTTGTAGTGTGAGGCCGGGACCTCACCCCCTCTCCAATAAGAAACTGGTTGTCGAGCTAAAGCTAATAAATCGGTGATTTATTTCGTAAACAAGAACGAGTGTAAGACGATTTAATTGTCGCATTCCCGGACCAAATTCACACGTCTTTGATCTAGATCAGGGAAAGTGGGAGAGAGAGCAACCGGGCTGTCTCTTACAGCAAGTTTGACTGTCATCTTACAGCGAGTTCAAAGCACATTAGACCAAAATTTACGGGACCCTCACTAAATATTCCTGAAAACGTATTCCAAAAATTAAGCAGTATTTTAATACAGTTTAATCCAGTAGCTACTCTATACAATATTATTTCAGAATTGCAACATTTTAAATCGTCATGGAATATTTTAAAGGAAAATGTCAATGAAACTTTTATAAAAATAAACGAAAATGAACATTCTACTGATGATCAAGTAGAAACTAATAAAGATGCGATTTTATCCTTACTGCATTGCTTGCAAAAAT